GTTTCTGTCTACATGAACCTTTCCTGGTTGCTTATTAATGTATTTGCCCACTGGTAACATAATACTTTCACAAGTTGATATCCCTCACCATTGGATTTTTTTTTGGTAATGTCTAAATTTCGTTTAAAAATAGATGATATCAGTCTGGTAGGCCTACATGACTGCAGGCAAGAATCAGGACTAACATTTAGCATGTGATTAATTTTATTACCACTATTATATTCTCTGAAATGTTATCTTTATTGAGGGCGACTTGAGAAAAGGAAGGGAGGGGGTGCAACCTGCCACACGCTTCTACCTCTTGGTTGTTTTGATCTATTGCCAATATGGCAATCCAATATGTTGGCACCTATAATCCCCCCAACCGCGGATACAAATCGACACCCATGCCAGCGAGCGTAGATCAGAGGGCGAGCTTTTAATTTTGAATTATAGAAAATATTGCTCTTGGTTAAAGATGAAAGAAGAGGTATAACGCTCATTCATTAGATAATGCTATTGACTGCATCTGTCTCCTTTTTTGTTTTCTCTCTCTCTCTCTCTTTCTCTTTCACTCTAACCCCCCCCCCCCCCCCCCCCTTTCTGTCGTTCTCTTCCTATCCATCTTCTCCGTCTCTATAATCGTCTCTCTTATATATCCTCCTCTTGCTTTCTCTCTCTTCCTTTCTCTTTCACTATCTTTCACTCTCCCTCGTTCTCTTCCTATCTATCTTCTCGGTCTCTATAATATTCTCTCTTTCCCTCCCCCCTCTCTCTCTCTCTCTCTCTCTTCGTCTTCCCATGTCTCTCCTAGATTTTAAATCAGACAAAGAGATTAGAGATTCAGAAGTTTTATTTAAATCTTTCTTTTCAGTTCAATTTAGAATCATGACTGCTTATGACATGCACATCAATAAGCCATTTCTGTCATGTAACCAAATTTATGCATATACCTTACCTGTTTATACAAATAAATGTATTTCAATAGTCAGGATTCAAATTGCTTACATTAGTTGTTGCTAAATGGGACACACATTATGGCTCGCACAGTTTTGCAAATATAACAAAATATTGAGTGTCACATGACACCATTTCAGCTAAAAGGATAGCAAATACACTATCATCAAACTACAATCAGCACATTCTTGTGTCTCCTTTATAAATCATAGTGTTGAAATATCTAAGGCACTGCAAACTTCATTTCAGTATTTCATGATCATCCGAGGTACATAGAAAGACCTAGCTGTTTAGTACATCATTTTGCATGACACAATTCAGAATAAAGTCACAGATCTGAGCGATTTGCATTGCATATCATGAAAATCAGAGTGGATTATAAAAAATGATGTAAGAGTTAAAATTAGACCGATTCCCTACTTTTATTTGTCACAATTACTATTTGTTTCTCTAGTCTCTTCTACCCTATACATATTCATTTCACATCATTTGCATATTCATTTCATCCATTCATCTCCACCATGACATCACTTAATCAGGAGAGGATGCATGGTGATCAAAAGGCAAGGTAACGGAATGCTCATAAGAGTACTACCTACATTTGTATCTTATAAGTCACTCAAGGATGCAAACTTACTAAAATATACAATTTATTTACAAGGCAAGTATGGAAACACACACATGTATCATACCATTGCATAATCATAATCATAATGATGCGAAGAAAAGCATAGAATATGTATCGTAAAAATTATTGAAATCCAATACTGAATACAATTAGAATAAACATGTATCGTGCAATTATAGTAGCATATTTACATGTACACTGGAATGATGTAACGAAAATCCTGGAAAAAATTTCCTCAAACAGATTTTTGTTATAGTACTGGTGAATGTAGTTAAACATGTACAAACAATAATCCATGTCAAATTAAATATACCACTGATATCTCAGGCATGTTAGATTGACAAAAGAGACATGTATCTGAAAATTATAGCAGCACATTTACATATATATACACTGGAATGATGTAAAGAAAATCCTGGAAAATATTTTTTTCAAGCAGATTTTTAAATCTAGAACTGGATGTAGCTCTAAATATATAAACAATAATCCACATCAGACAAAATGTTACACCGATAACTCAGGCCTATACCCCAACCAGACAAAGTTAGTTTTCAACTAACCTATTGAATTATATGAAGTTTGTTGACATGATAACTAGAGCCGGCAAACTTTCAGTGTAAATTATAAACTTTATATGGGGATTGTATTGGGAATAGTGCATCAAACAATTTTTTCAAATTTAGTACTCCGCCCTTCCTATAATTTGTGTGCCAGCGTTGGTAAAAGAAAAATTAGATCCTGACAAAAATTCAATATTTCAGGATAATCTGATTATTTTCGCATGTTTTAATACCCCGTCACATAATACATAATTTACAATCTTTGATAACTTTAAGTTTGCTAATGCGTGCTTTTGCATGATTTTTGTATTGTTGCAGTTGGAAAAAAAGTATGAAATTACAAAAGTTTGTGTTCGCTTGTTCAACTCATTACACATTCAACAATTGATGAGAAATCATTGAAAGGGACAGCAAATATTTGCTGAGATACCATTTTCTGATGTAGGAATTCTAAATTCTGATATTGCATGCGCTCTTTGAAATCACCACCTGGTCAACAGTTGCAGATTAGGGCATAGCTATGTTGGCGGCTTTGAGCATGGGGTCAAAGGAGAGCGGCTTGATTCCACTCCTTCTATATCACCTCCCTGCTTTAACTCATAACTTCTATACACAGGCATTATGCATGATCATAGCCGAGTAAAAAATGAAGCCCTGTTCAGATTTTTTTCAAAAACGTTTTCCACACAACATGACCCTCTCTGCATAAAACAAGTACACAATGGGATCTCGATGCAACTCTGGGTTTAAAGGTAATACAAAGTTTTGGTATGGGGTCATGAATTTTGTTCAAATGAACATATTGGAAGCATATACGATCCTACAATATTCAGTGATCGTTGTCGAGGTCGAAATCGACTCAAAAGTTATGAAATTGTAAATAATAAACATGTTATGTTGAATAGCTCCCTCTCAAGGTCAAGATATTAATTAAGCTATAAAACAATGTTTATTGACTAAAATAGATCGATTAGCTATTCTCGTTCAATATATATACCACAGCTACACACTCTGAGATTTTCATGGTCGCAGCTACCATTGTACGGCCGTAGGAGCTATTTTAAATTTATCAAAATTTACCGGGAGCACCGGTAAATCACTATATATAATAATAATAATAATAATAATAATAATAATATTCAAATAGTCCACTCCAAATTTTATTAAACCGAAACAGAAATTCTTTTTGCCCAATTTGATCGTGAGCCCGGCAGCCACTGAGCAGTGCTAGATCGACGTTGCTCTATCCCTTATTGTTGAACGCCAAACAAGGTAGCAACAACTCCCATCTTTTCAATTTTTCTTGAAAGCAGAAGTGTTTTAGGGGCTAACACTTCTGGTGTTTTTAATACATCCACAGGGGCATCTAAATATATCAAAATTGTAAAGAATCAGTATCCACCCATTTTTCAAAATTTCCCAAAACTTTGTAATACCTTTAATAAGTACACATTCACAAAACATATCCTGTTTTCGCATCACTTTCTACATACGGTAGGCCTACTCCTTTCACAAGTTTTCAAACATTGTGACAATATTATGATCTCTTTCTTGTAAAATGTATACACTAACACCTTGGACTGTACTCATCCAAGGTGAAAAAGAAGAAAACAGCCTTATTATAAATATTCAAACATTTACAAACATCCGCCGAAAATTATCCCTTTAACCCCAAATTTGTTGATATCAGTCCAGGGCTTGAAACCAGCAAGTGGACGCGTAAATCTAGGTCCGGACCCCCAGAATTTGGAAGCTTTTACTTAGGCTCATGCATACAGACTAAAAAGTTAAATCTGAACCTCTTTCCCCCAAAATAGTTAGTGTAGCCCTGAATCATACATACAAAAAGTCAAGATGAAGTGTTACCAGTGGGTAGGACACTGTCTTACACTCTTACTCTACCGATACCATATCAACCAGATTTCATACTTTGATTGCTTCTCTTGAATTTCAGGAGGTTGCCTCTTGCAGGGCCTGCTCCGACTGCTGCTACCTTCTCTGTATATCTGAGAGAATTGATATACAGTAGTATCTGACATATTGCCAACATAAAGTTTTGATATCAACCGGTATTGCTTGTATTTTGGATTGGAGATGGAAGAAAAGCTGGCTGAATGTGATACATGACTGAAAGAACCTAGCCTACTTGAAGAATTTGTTCTTTTCTATATAACTGGTCGATAATTGGAAGCTGAATGGAGTCTGTAGTGGAGTGGTCCTGACTAAGCTGAGGCCAGCTAGATCTGCCCGCTCTACAATCATCAGTTGAATGGTGCATCTGAAACGTGCCATCTCGACATGGCAGGTTGATGATATCCAGAGACTGGAGTTACGCAACAGAGCAGAGCTGGATGTCATGGGAGTTGCCTGAGTCAGCCTAACCATCTGAGTCATTTGAGTTGCCTGAGTTGGCCGAGAAATACGAGTCATTTGAGCTGCCAAAGTCGGCTGAGTTGTCTGAGTCATTTGAGTTGCCTGAGTTGGTAGAGCCATCCCAGTCACTTGAGCAGTCTAAGTCCGAGCTGTAGAGGAAACAGATTTCTCTTTGTTATTATCTGAATGAAAGATGAGAAATAAAATATCAACTACTATCAGTATTACTGAAAGTACCTGTCTCAAGAAACATTTTGATCAGTGAATGAAGAAGAAACAAAATAGAAGAGACTACAGTGTAACAAAAATATCAAGAACACCAACAAAAAATTATCAAGTACACACATTACAATTTTTTTTTTTAAATCTACAAATTTAAGGTTTAAAGTACTATACAGTGGGGAATTTTGTTCAAAATAGCTGTTACTGAATATTTAGTTTTGTCAGACAAACTTTTTAGGAACCACAATATCCCTTTACCGCATGCTCCCTGCCGGGGTTTATATCATTTCTTAGTATTACATCAGAGGTTCGTTATATTGTTTCTGTATTGCACTACCCATAAACAGGCTACATGCTGTTATCTGACATATAGGCCTACTGTACTAACCTTTGCAAACATGTGAGGGTGTTGAGAAATGAGTTTAAGTCATCTTGGGCAACTCCATTGACCCTGAACTTTCCCTTCTTGATCTGAGGAAAACAACCCTGTAACATATAAAAGCAACATTGCTTGTAAAACTTGTATCAGTTTCAAGTAGGTAAGTGGATCTATTTCATTATGGCATATAATCTATTTTCTTGGGAATATACACCCAAGAGCTACAGTAACATCCCATAAGCTAAAGATGTATGGAGAATTAAAAAAAGCTAGAATAAGAAAAATTATGCACAATAGAATTACAAATATTTATTAAATAAATGGATCCAATACATATTGCGACTTCATGACAACATGTAATAATATCAATAATAGTGGTAGTTTTACTGTAGTAGTACTGGTAGTAGTATCCACTATAAGCAGTAGCAATTGGAATATGGTAGCAACATCAAGTAAAAAGAAAACAATAACAAATTACCTGTTAGACAAATCGTTATACTTTCTCATACTATAAGGGGATCAGAGAACAACAGAGAAGAGGAGGGCATTACTTTTACCCAACCCTAAATGGGTAGGGTAGGTGGAAGCTGCCTCCTTTTCTGTTAGCAATGTGTTTGAGAATAATTTATTTCCAAGATCTTTCTCGACTTAGTAGCCTATAGTCTAGAGCATCTTTGATATTAAATTTATAGAATTTAAACATTCATTACTGTGTAAAAGGGCAACCTACAGAAGGTGAAAACATGGTTGAAAATACCATCCTAAGACCTTAGTATGTCCCTACTATAATGTTCTTAAATAGCAGCCCGCAATTTAATGCATGCTCCCATGAATATCATGTTAAAAACAAGAGGTCGGCGGACCTTACGCTCACCTGAGCGGATGAAAGTAGGGGTCTCGCAAGAACGGAACTAGCTTCCATCCCCTTTAGAAACAGTACAAATTGTCTAATTATTACCATAGGGGCACTTTGAGGGATGCTGCCCTCAAGCCCCCTTGGTGGCATATATCCCATTTGAACAACTTTAGATCTCCCTTTTCTGCAGGTGATTCCTACAAACTTTGGTTAGAATCCAGCCATGGGTTTTCGACAAGAAGAAGAGCATGTGCAATTACCAGTACTTCCACTGAGGAACTTTGGGGGCGCTGCATATATTTATTTACTAGTACTAATTTCTCATTGCATTCATATATTTATCCCCAACTGTATGCATAACAGAGCTGTATTCATATGGACATTCTTAAAACTAAATAGACTTTTTTAAAATTTAATTCTTATCTAACACTATAGTTTCCATCAGAAGGGTGATTACATTATTTTCTGTTGTTGAATGTCCTACATGTATTCTCAAAAAGGCTTAAAACCAGTTTAAATTAATAATTCCTACTCCTAACACCACTGAAATAAATAATACCTCAGAAATGTGCATCTGCCATCTGCTATTAATATACTGGAGGTATTCATGAATCTGATTTCATGTGCACAAGAACCTTAAGTCAGCAAGTTTGTGGATATGGAACAGCTTTGGACAATTCAAGCCTTTATTAAAATTGGTTAAAATTGGTTTTAAAAAATACATGACACATTTTTCATATCAATCAAACTAGGAAAAGGTTGGATATTGATTGATCAAAACAATGTAAATCTTATAGTATTATACACACTTAAATTTCAACTGAATCAGCTTAGGTGTAGTTTGCTTTCTTTTCATGTTTCATGACTATTCCAATTTACCAAGTGAATGGCCTTTTAAAAATTGTGTTTGGGGGAAAAAAACATATATATATAATATATTTATATCCCTTCTATAAATATTCATGAGTTCTTTAAGTACATGATTGGTCAATTGGTGGTCACGTGATAAAATATAATTTCACTATTAGAAACAAATCTCTGCCAGAGCTCCGAATATTTTCCACTATTTTTTCATGGGCAGAACTGCGCATGCTCTATGAGATTTTCAGGTAGAAAAGCATTGTGACATCACATCATGTTCAGTCAAAAATAATGCGCAATTAGCGCGTCTCATTAAATGCGCGTTAATATAATTGTGCGCAGGTTAAATTGGCAAATTCAAACTGATTGTAAACTTCTCCAATGCCCAGCCCAATGTGGGTAACATAAGAATAAAGTTAAAAACCATATGCCATTCATTCATTAAGTCAGACGTTCGGATCGTAACAAAGTGATATAAAACAAATATACCAAGCTTTTAGTTCGTAAGAATAGTGGAAGTTATATATCTTCGGAGGGACTGGCAATAGTTAATTTTTTTTCCTCGGGGCTTCGACCCTCGGAAAAAATAGTACTAAGCCAGTCCCTCCTCAGATAAATAATTTCCACTATTCTTTCTCACAGCTTCGAATATTTGTATAATATATATATATATATATACACGTGTGCACCATTTAACTATTACTGCTGTCTTGTTGATCAATGACCCTCCATGACATTTACATTAGGACACACATACCTGTATGGATGATGCCTTTGCTTTCAATGTAGAGTAGAACTCCTCATCGAAATTCCATCCATGCATTGTCAGGTCAGTCAGGTTTGGAATACAGCATATTGCTTCTACAAGGTGATGTGAGGTTGGTGTTGGACACTGCATATCCTGAAGCTTGAGAGTCTGGACCTGTATTGTTTGTCAATTTAGTTAAGCATTTTACCTATACACGCATATATTGGATTAAATATTTTCTCATTGTCTTCTTACTTTTAACAGAACTTATATTATGAAGCTTTAGAGTCTGGACCTGCATTGTTTGTCAATATAGTTAAGAATTCTACCTATACATCCATATATTGAATTAAATATTTAGGTGGTCTGTTGTCAACAGACCACCTATTGATTTCGTCAGAATTTTCTTTCTTTATTTATTATCATTATTTATTTATTATTTATTTTTATTTATTTCTCCACTTTTTTGTGCAACCGATTTCTCAATATCCATCCACCCAATTTCTCTCAATTTTGATACAGTCATAGGTAATCATCATAAGACGTGACAGGAACATTTTCAAGGTCATCAAATTATCGTGACGTCATCCAGGCGCCATTTTGTGAAATCACATTATCCATCATATCTTCATGATGCGTACTCAAAGTTCATTCATATTCATATCACATATACTTCAGGTTAAGGGTCAACAGGTCGTGTCATCAAAGGTCAAATAAAGGTCATGACGCACGCAAACGCGGCGTCAAAATTTAAAATTGCTCAAAATCACTTAACGAGAGTACGAATCAGGTCATTTCAAGCATTTCAAAATTTTCCATCCGTACGTGTCCCCGCGCGCGTTGTGTGCGCTCACAGCGCGCAGAACAAGTCAAATTCAAAATGTTTACATGATTTGGATTTCTCTTAACGTAATTGACAATTTACATTAATTTCAGTCCCTCTTCTTATTTCATAAGGCCGTGAGCGTGCGTCAAAGTTCAAAATCTGCGCGTGCTGCTATGGGCAATATAATGCAAATTTGATCAAAAACATGCCATTTTAAAAATCGAAATAGCTCTTCAGATAGTCCATCGACCCCCAATTTTTATATCATGGTTAGAGAAAGCATGAGTTGGAGATATGATTTCATACCACCCTGACTCGTACAAAGTGAAACAAAGTCATCATATTGGCATCTAAACTCAAACAAATGTATTTTGTTGATGACGTCATTTTTGTCTTTGTTTAATTGAGATTATCTCACTTATCGGTGATCAATTTTCTCCCAGATTTTGATATATTGTAGCTGAGATAATTCTCTATCAGAAATCTGTCATTTATTTTTCATTTGGATGAGGTCATCATAGTTAAATATTCGACAATGCATAATTTGTCATATTTGCGTGTTATGTCTATGGAAGGTCACTTTTCAAAACATGAATCTGCATGACAATGTGTTTTGACCATTATCTCGGTTGTTATTCAATAGTTTTCTCCCAAATTTTAGTATGTTGTAGCTGAGACTATATGCTATCTAAATATTTCCTCATTTTTTCAATCAGATGTCAGGATCATGCTCATGCTTATCATTATCATTAACATTATCGTTTTTATCATCATATAACATTATCATTATCATCATCACCACCTTTACTATCATGATCATCATCATGGTCATCATGAGCATCATTGTTTACATGTCTATATAACTTCTCCCATTCTCAAATCTATCATAAGTGAAGACAGACCACCTAATTCGTCCCCATGACGAATTCAATTTTCTAGTTACTTATTGTCTTCTTACTTTTGACAGAAATTCTATTTTTGATATAGTTATATTCATAATAAAATACACACCAGAACTAATTGAATAGATTTTATTTTCAAATTCAAATTTGTCTATTACTGAAAATTACACACAAAAGTTTCTATGGAGAGGATGACTAGTAAGAGAAATTGTTAAAATAGTACTATCCTAGTATGTATAATTTATAGGGCTTCCAACCTGTTTGCATTGATAATTCCTACTACCATAATAACACTGAAATCAATAATACCCATAAATATACATTTGCTATTAATGTATTAAAAGATTCAGAACCCTGGGTTTCATGTGCACAAGTCCCCTAAGTCAGAGGGTTTGTTGCTATGGTCCAGTTTGGTAAATTCAAGAGAGTCTGGATCTGCATTGTTTGTGAAGATAGCTAAGCAGAACGTATATACATGCATACATTATATTTACTAATTTCTGACTGTATTCTTACACTTCACACAAATTACATTACCGGTAGTTAAATAGTTGTATTCACAATAACCTTCTCAAGAAAACTGATTGAATAGATTTTGTTTTCAAATTCAATTCTTGTCTATTCAGAAAAAGAACAAAATAAAGTTTCCATGGAGAGAATTATTTAGTAAAAATTGATTTTTCTTAAATTCTATATGTATTCTTTATAGGGCTTCCAACCTGTTTGCATTGATAAGTCCTCATCCTACTAACACTGAAATTAATAATACCAGGAATACATTTAATATTAATGTATTAAAGTTATTCATAACTCTTGATTTCATGTGCACAAGAATCTTAAGTCAGGATGTTTGGTGCTATGGTGCAGTTTGGAAAATTCAAGCCTTTATTAAAAATTGGCTCTTTACAATCTTTATTACATATTTTTCATATCAATCAAACTTGGAAAAAAGTTGAATAATAATTATTGATCAAAACAATGTTAATCTTCTACACAAATAAAATTCAACTGAATCTTCACATGCTTAGTTTTAAATTCGATTCAACTCAATTTATTTGGCATGAAAAGAAAATTCTGCTCTTTCTTTCTATCGATGACCCTATCTGTGAAATTTACATCAGGACATACATACCTGCATGGATGATGCCTTTGCTTTCAATGTAGAGCAGAACTCCTCATTTAGATCCATTGTGATCAGTGACAGGTCAGTCAGGTTTGGCATAGAACAAAGTGCTTCTGCTAGGTGATGTGATGAGGCTGATGTGGGACACCGGAGAAATTGAAGCTTGAGAGTCTGGACCTGCATTGTTTGTCAATATAGTTAAGAATTTTACTTGAAGATGTTTTTTTAATTGGATGAGAGATTTGTCATTTGAAATATCTTAACAGATGTTGTCTAATGAGTGGGGATATAAGATTTACTTTTGTCATGGAAAGTCTAACAGCGCGAAGTATGTGGTATCACAGTTCATTCTGTACATAGAGATTAAGACGGTCGCATTTTGGTATTAATTGTTTCCTATGAAAATATGAAGTTTACTATTGCGAATATATATGGTCCGAATAAAGATGGAAGTGAACTTTTTGAAGGTTTGCATGCAAATCAGTTTGGTGAAGAACCATATATTCTTGGAGGTGATATGACCACTGTCCAAGATCCTCACGTGGACCGCTGTCCCAACAACAATCAGTATCATCCTAATTGTTTCACACGTATATAGAAACCTTGAAAGAGGATTTTGATTTAGTAGATATCTGGCCTTTTATGAATCAATGTAAACTTCAATACACTTGGCGTTCAAATACTTTCCAAAGTAGAATAGATTATTTTCTGATTTCAAATACTTTCAAAAGAATTCTATTGTTCATACAGATATACATTATGGTTACAGAAGTGACCATTCTGCAATTAGTTTATCAATTGAACAATCAGTCCCTAGAAGGTGTCCAGGATTCTGGAAGCTAAATACTTCTTTATTATTGTCACTGCCTAATAGGAGTGAGATACACAAAAGTATACGCTCTGTTATTGAGGAAATATAAATATGGAAGTGAATATATTATGGGAATATCTGAAGTTAAAAGAGAAAAATGTGTTTCATTATCCTCTTCACAAAAAAGAAAAGAAACTTGAAGTAAATGTTTTGTTGAAAGATATTGAGAAGCTCCAAGGAGTTTTGGTAGAAAATCAAGATGACGACATGTTGAAAGAAACTTTGATTTGTAAAGAGGCAGAGTTACAAAAGATACATGAAGAATATCTTCGCAGAATAATGGGCCGTTCAAGAGCAACTTGGATATCATAGGGAGAAAAGAATTCACGTTATTTTCTAAACTTAGAAAAGAAGAATTTCGATGAGAAACATATACAACAGTTGGAAAAAGGTGATGTCATTATAACGGAGCCATCTGATATATTGAGTGAAGAAAAACAATTTTATGAAAACTTGTATAACGGTACTTCAAATAATATTGATTATGTTATCTCGAGAGCACATTAACAAATCTGAATATACCTTGTATTAATAATGATTTAGCTTTGCTTTGTGAAGGATCTGTATTAGTAAAAGAATGTTACGATGCAATTATGCCAATGTCTTGTGATAAAACAACAGACTCTGATGGCTTACCTGTTAATGTTTATAAGATATTTTGGGAAGATATAAAAACATTCCTTTGTGAAGTTTTTAATATTCGCTATAAAAATGGAGAACTGTGTCCTTCAATGAAACGGGGGATAACTTTGTTACCCCCAAAAATAAAGATATCTGCCATCTGAAGAACTGGCGTCAAATATCACTTTTAAATACAGATTATAAGATTTTAGCGAAGATTTTAGCAACCAGACTTCAAAAGGTTCTTCCTCTTATTATTCATGAGGACTGGATTTCTTAAAGGTAGATATATAGGTGAAAATATTTGGTTGTTTATAGACTCAATTGATTTTGGCAAAAAATATCGAATAGGGGGTATAGTTTTCTCGATTGATTTTGAGAAAGCTTTTTACTTTACAAAGGGGGGTTAGACAAGGATGTTCTCTTTCTCCCTACTTGTTTTTAATCGGAGCTGAAATTCTAGGTATCATGTTTAGACAGAGTACTCAGATAGAAGGTATTAAATTTAAAGGCAATGAAGTGAGGATAAGTCAATACGCAGATGATACCCTTATTTATCTTGCAGCCACGGAACTTAATCTCTCGAATTGCTTCGATATTTTATCGGTGTACTCAAATATTTCTGGTTTGAAAATCAATGTTAATATGAGTAAAATTGTGAGATTGGGAAAGTTTACAGGTATGTTATGTAATCATTTGACTGTCGAATGGGTTGATAATGTTATCAATTACTTAGGTATAAACATTCCAGTTGATTTTTTATCAGATATCTATTCAATCAATTTTGAGGCTAAGATAAAAGAAGCTAAAACACTTTTAAAGGTATGAAACTGTCAAAACTTGACCCTACTTGGGAAAATTACAGTAATTAAATCACTAGGTATACCTAAATTTGTTTATTTATTTAGTAATTTGCCAGATCCACCAGATAGTTTTTTTGTCACAATGCAAAGGATGTGCTTTAATTTTTTATGGAGTGGAAAAACAGATAGGATCAAAAGACATATTATGTTTAATACATATGAAGATGTGGGGTTGCAAATGACCCATCTTAAGAGCTTTTGTAGTGCACTCGAAGTTGCATGGGTAAAGAGAGTTTTGGATAAACAAAACAAGGGTATTTGGAAAACATTTTTTTTCAATGCCAAATGAAACATTATGTGGAAGAAATTGTTTTTAGTTTTACTTTCAGGTGGGAGATATACATTCCTTTTCAATAAATCAATTCTGGTCGAATGTCTTAACGGCATGGTCTTCTTATAAGTACTACAATCCGGTTAAATTCAAGGATATTGTGTCACAACTTTTATGGAATAACTCTGCCATCAAAGTAGACGGTAGAATTTTATTTTTATAGAAAATGGTATGATTCAGGAGTTAAATATGTTCACGATATTTTGAAAGAAGATGGTAGCTTCAAAACATTTTCTGAAATTCAACATGATTTTCCACTGAATTTAACTCAATTTATGAATTATAGTGCTATTGTTTATGCAATCAGGTCAACTTGGAAGAAAGTTTTTACCCAAAGAATTTGTAATCCTAGCCTTGAAGATAACAAACTTAGTACATTTTTGTCAAAAAAGAAATCTTCTAAATTTTGTTATTTGTTATATATGGAAAAAAATATCATTGAGTTTGGAAAAGACAAACCAATTGAGAAAATGAGAAGATGATTTTAATTTAAGTCTAGAGAATTTAATGCAATGGCAAGACCGTTTTGTTAAAGTATTCAAGACAACTTTAGATACAAAAATTTGAACATTCAAATTTAAATTCATTCACCAGAAAATTGCGACCAACGAATTTCTCTTTCGTATTGGTATAAAGACCTCACCAAATGTAATTTTTGCCAAAAGGATAACCAGAATTTGATGCATATGTTTTTCTCCTGCCTAATTGTAGCTAAATTTTGGACCTATGTTTACAAGTGGTTATGTGAGTTAAAAGTAATTACTTTACCACTTTCTCAACTAGATATCTGTTTTGGCGTACACCCAGGAGACATTTTTGTAAACACAGTTATATTTTACAGTAAATACTTTAAATAAATACAAAGAAACAAATATTTTGACAAAACGTTGATTTTCAGTCAGTTTCAGGCAGATATGCTTTACCTTGGGAAAATTGAACAAATCATTGCTTTACGTAAAGGGAAACTACATGTTCATCTTAAAAAATGGAAACCCTTAGTGTAATTTAAAAGGTCTTACTCATTTTCATTTGCCTTCATCCATTTATGTTCACACTTATGATTCTGACTAATGTACTATTATACGATGGAAGTTATTAATTTGTAAAACGCCTATGAATGTATGTTTTATTATTCCTTGTTAACATGAAGAAGCAATAAAAAGTTTAAATATTAAAAAAAAAATTGTTTACCTATACATCCATATATTGAATTAAATATTTTCTCATTGTCTTCTTACTTTCCCAGAGATGCCAACCTTCATCAACAACAACAAATATTCTTAAGAGCAAAAAACAGTATGTTTGAAAAAATCCCTCACCTTAACATAACGGCAGTACCACGTAACATCGTTTTTTTTGTTTTTTGTTACCGACTCTGTCGGCAGCAAGCCAGGTCCGTGCTAAAAAACCCACGCGGGAAGGACTGCAAGGTGCAGTTGAAGGCGCTGATTTGTGCTTGTGAACTTGTAACAAATAATATTAACAATGTCGTTTTAGAAGAATGTGTATTAGATCATTAATGCAAATTAAAAACCGTAGAGGACATAGGATAGAATCTTGTGGTACACCGGTACAACGTGTGTAATAGAAGAAAAATTGGAGGAATTATTATTATAAACTACATGTTGAGATGACAGACAAATTTAAGTGTTGTTCTAGTTTCCGAGTGGTGAGTCAACACACCGATTACTGAGCTGGGAGACATTGCAAGGCATAAATCGAAACTTTACAAAAATGTTTATAAAAAATTCCTTTAATTTTTTTTTTTAAACATTAAAAAAACGTAACAAAACATACATAAAACGTACTGCTGTATTCATAGCAAAAATTAAAATTCAACTGAATCTCCACATGCTTAGTTTTAAATTCAATTCAACTCAATTTATTTGGCATGAAAAGAAAATTCTGCTCTTTCTTTCTATCAATGACCCTATCCGTGAAATTTACATCAGGACACACATACCTGCATGGATGATGCCTTTGCTTTCAATGTTGAGCAGAACTCCTCATTGAGATCCATTAGATCATTGATTTCATGTGCACAAGAACCTTAAGTCAGCAAAATTGTGGATATGGAACAGCTTTGGACAATTCAAGCCTTTATTAAAATTGGTTGTAAAAAAAAAATACACGACACATTTTTCATATCAATCAAACTAGGAAAAGGTTGGATATTGATTGATCAAAACAATGTAAATCTTATAGTCTTATACACACTTAAATTTCAACTGAATCAGCTTAGGTGTAGTTTGCTTTCTTTTCATGTTTCATGACTATTCTAATTTACCAAGTGAATGGCCTTTTAAAAAATGTGTTTGGGGGAAAAAAACATATATATATATATATACGTGTGCACCATTTAACTATTACTGCTGTCTTGTTGATCAATGACCCTCCATGACATTTACATTAGGACACACATACCTGTATGGATGATGCCTTTGCTTTCAATGTAGAGTAGAACTCCTCATCAAAGTTCCATCCATTCATGGTCAGGTCAGTCAGGTTTGGCATACAGCACAGTGCTTCTCCTAGGTGATGTGATGAGGCTGATGTGGGACACTGGAGACGATGAAGATTGAGAGTCTGGACCTGTATTGTTTGTGAATAGAGTCAAGCAGTTTACCTATACATGCATATATTAAATTTAATATTTTATCATCGTCTTCTTACTTTTAACAGAAATTCTATGTTTTACATAGTTATATTCACAATAAAATACACTACAAAACTGATTGAATACACTTTGTTTTCAAATTCAAATTTGCCTATTACAAATAAAGAACACACACACGTTTCTCTGGAGAGGATGATTAGTAAGGGCGATTTTTAAAATAATTCTATATGTATTCTTTATAGGGCTTCCAAACGGTTCGCATTGATAAGTTCTCATCCTAATAACACTGAAAATTAATAATACCCAGAAATATGCATTTGCTATTAATGTATTAAAGGTATTCTTTACTCTTGATATCATGTGCACAAGAATCCTAAGTCAGGAGGTTTGCTGATATGGTTCAGTTTTGTAAATTCAAGCCTTTATCAAAATTTGCTCTTAAAATACTTAATGAAACATTTTTTCCTATCAGCCAAACTTTTAAAAGGTTGGATATTAATTATTGATTAAGACAATATTAATCTCCTACACACTTAAAATTTAACTAAATCTCTACATGCATAGTTTTGAATTCAATTGAATTCAATTTATTTGGCGTGAAATGAAAATTCTGCTCTTTCTTTCTATCAATGAACTTCTCCATTAGGACACACATACCTGTATGGATGATGCTTTTGCTTTCAATGTGGAGTAGAACTCCTCCTTTGGCTCTATTCCATGCAGTGTCAGGTCAGTCAGGTTTGGCATAGAACTAAGTGTTTCTGCAAGGTGATGTGATGAGGCTGGTGTGGTACATTGGATATTATGAAGCTTGAGAGTCTGGACCTGCATTGTTTGTCAATATAGTTAATAATTTTACCTGAAGATGTTTTTTTAATTGGATGAGAGATTTGTCATTTGAAATATCTTTTCTTCAGGAAACCCATAGTACAAGAAAATCTCAACAGATGTGGTCTAATAAGTGGGGTTATAAGATTTACTTTTGTCATGGAAAGTCTAACAGCGCGAGAGTATGTATTTTGTTTAAACCTAGCTGTGGTATCACAGTTCATTCCGTGCATAGAGATAAAGACGGTCGCATTTTGGTATCAATTGTTTCCTATGAAAATATGAAGTGAAAAAAAAATCAAGATGATGACATGTTGAAAGAAAATTTGATTGGTAAAGAGGCAGAGTTACAAAAGATACATGAAGAATATGTTCGCGGAATAATGGTCCGTACAAGAGCTACTTGGATACCAGAGGGAGAAAAGAATTCATGTTATTTTCTGAACTTAGAAAAGAGGAATTTTGATAAGAAACATATACAACAGTTAGTAAAAGGTGATGTCATTATAACGGAGCCATCTGATATATTGACTGAAGAAAAACAATTTGATGAAAACTTGTATAACGGTACTTCAAATAATATTGATTATGTTATCTCGAGAGCACATTGACAAATCTGAATATACCTTGTATCAATAATGATTTAGCTTTGCTTTGTGAAGGATCTGTATTAGTAAAAGAATGTTACAATGCAATTATGCCAATGTCTTGTGATAAAACAACAGACTCCGATGGCTTACCTGTTAGTTTATAAGATATTTTGGGAAGATATAAAAACATTGCTTTGTGAAGTTTTTAATATTCGCTATAAAAATGAAGAACTGAGTCCTTCAATGAACCGTGGATAATAACTTTGTTACCCCAAAAAATAAAGATATCCGCCATCTGAAGAACTGGCATCCAATATCACTTTTAAGTACACTGAGATTATAAGATATTAGCAAAGATTTTAGCAACCAGACTTCAAAAGGTTCTCCCTTTAATATTATTCATGAGGACCAGACTGGATTTTTTAAAGGTAGATATATAGGTAAAAATATTTGGTTGTTTATAGACTTAATTGATTTTGATAAAAAATATTCAATAGGGGGTATAGTTTTCTCGATTGATTTTGAGAAAGCTTTTGATTCGATAGAATTTTTTTAGATATATGTTTAACCAAATTTGGATTTGGATGTATTTTCAAATCTATGATTAAAATGATGTATAACGATATTGAAAGTTGTGTCATAAACAATGGATACTCGTCATCAGTTTTTACTTTACAAAGGGGATTAGACAAGGATGTCCTCTTTCTCCCTACTTGTTTTTAATCGGAGCTGAAATTCTAGGTATCATGTTTAGACAGAGTACTTAGAGGGTATTAAATTTAAAGGCAATGAAGTGAGGAAAGTAAATACGCAGATGATACCCTTATTTATCTTGCAGCCACTGAACTTAATCTCTTGAATTGCTTCGATAATTTATCAGTGTACCGGTACTAAAATATTTCTGGTTTGAAAATCAATGTTGATATGAGTAAAATTGTGAGATTGGGAAATTTTGCAGGTATGTTATGTAATCATTTGACTGTCGAATGAGTTGATAATGTTATCAATTACTTAGGTATAAACATTCCAGTTGATTTTTTATCAGATATCTATTCAATCAATTTTAAGGCTAAGATAAAAGAAGCTAAAACACTTTTAAAGGTATGAAACTGTCAAAACTTGACCCTACTTGGGAAAATTACAGTAACTAAATCACTAGGTATACCTAAATTTGTTTATTTATTTAGTAATTTGCCAGATCCACCAGATAGTTTTTTTGTTACATTGCAAAGGATGTGCTTTAATTTTTTATGAAGTGGAAAAACAGATAGGATCAAAAGATATATTATGTTTAATACATATGATGATGGGGGTTGCCAGTCAGTTTTACTCACTTTGCCTGAAAAGAAGTCAGAACATATTAAAGCCCCATATGTGCTGTACAATATAAAGCCTGAAAAAGCCTGAAATGGGAAGTTGTCAGGGCCTGAAAGTTGCATGGGTAAAGAGAGTTTTGGATAAACAAAACAAGGGTATTTGGAAAACATTTTTTTTCAATGCCAAATGAAATATTATGGGGAAGAAAATGTTTTTAGTTGCAACTTTCAGGCGGAAGATATACATTCCTTTACAATAAATCAATTCTGGTCGGATGTTTTAATGGCATGGTCTTCTTATAAGTACTACAATCTTGATATATTCAAGGATATTGTGTCACAACTTTTATGCAAAGAACACAGTAATTCTGTTAGGTGATGTGATGAGGCTGGTGGGCGACACTGGAGAAGTTCAAGCTTGATAGTCCGGACCTGCATTATTTGTGAATATAGTTAAGCAGTTTATCTATACATGCATATATTTAATTAAATATTTTCTCATCTCCTTCCTTTTAACAGGATTTATATTTATTACATTGTTATACTCATAATAACATTCACAACAAAATTGAATAGGTTTTATTTTCAAATTCAAATTTGTCTATTTAAAAAAAAAAAAAAAAAAAGTTTCTATTGATTTAAAAAATGATACTATAATAATGTAACTTATATCGCGCCAAATCCACTCTGTGGAGTGCTCAAGGCGCGTGTAAACAGGAAAAACGATCAAGACTTGAAAAGGAATGTTTTGAGATGAGTTTTGAAAGAATCAGAAGATAAACATTTTTTGATGTCTTCAGGAAGGCCATTCCATAATTTAGGACTAGAGTATGCAAATGATCTTTCCCCCCACGTTTTGGTAATTTTGGGGGTCACAAGAAAATTGGAAGTGGATGAGCGTAGAGGTCTTGCAGGAGTGTAGTTTTGGATTAGAAAGATGAGGTATTGAGGAGCAGAGCCGTGAACGCAATGAAAGGTAAGCAACAAAATTTTGAAAACAATGCGATCTTTTACTGGGAGCCAATGTAGCGACTGCAAAACTGGGGAAATGTGGGTACGCTTGGTGGTCAGAGAAACAATACGAGCTGCAGCGTTTTGAAGCTTCTGGAGTTTGGACAGTAGATTCTGGGGTAGATTGATTAGGAGGGCATTGCCAAAATCAAGACGGGAGGAAATCAGAGCATGTACTAATTTTTCGGTGGCAGACTTGGACAAATTTTTACAAATAAAACCGATATTACGCAATTGGTACCTTACTGATCTGCAAATATTAGAAACTTGGTCAGACATTGTCATATGTGAGTCAAACATAACACCGAGATTGCGACACGTTTGTGACAAGTGAATTATGTGGCCAGAAAATGAAATGCAATTGATATTAACTTTACTAAGCTGTACTTTGGAACCAAATGTAAGGAATTTGCATTTGTCTAAATTTAATTTCAAGGAACGTGCGAGCATCCAATCATGAGCATCAGCCATGCAAGATTCAAGGCGATGAACGGCTCGTTCTGCAGCGGCTTGATCTGAATTGAAGGAAATCATAAGTTGAATATCGTCCGCATAAATATGATAATCTATGCCATGTTGTAACAAAACTTGTCGCAATCCAATTAAATAAATTGAGAAGAGAGTATGCTTCATAGGGCTTCCAACCGGTTCGCATTGATAGTCTGAAATTGATAATACCCAGAAATATGCATTTGCTATTAATGTATTAAAGGTATTCAGAACTCTGGATTTCTGATATGGTTTAGTTTCGTTAATTCGAGCCTTTATCAAAATTAGCTCTTAAAATACTTAGTGAAATATTTTTATAAAAATCATCATATAGGAGACATTTAAAGGAATTAAAGAAAAGTAAAATGTAGGTTAGAAAGGGAAGATATGGTAATGGAATTAAATTTAATTAAACACTCACACATACATGTACATCACAATTGTGGATGAACTGCTCACCTTTGATTCTTTTCCTTTCAATGCAAGTGTTGCAAAAAAACAATGATGGAATGCCTTTTCAAGATAAACAATCTTCAAGGATGGCAAAGAGCATATCATCTCTGCCACATCAAGTGACGTAGTAGGTCCACAATCTCTCTCAATATTGAGTTTAACCTGGATAGAAAGACAAAGCGATTACTGATGGGATAAAGAATATAGAGAGGAGGTGCATTTATACTGTTAAATACCTCATTTTAAAAAACCATGATGTTTCGCGCACCCGTTTACACTTGTGCTGAAACATTACGTGCTGAAACATTACTGACTGAAATGCTCTGTGATATTTTGGCTTGTTTCAGTTGGCAATGCGCATGCGCTGCACTCCGATGCATAAACCTCCTTCGATCAGCTGCTTTATGCTGTGGCTGCTGTAGTCCAGTGAATTTTTGTTTTTTTCGTTCTATCATCTTTTCCCTACCATTGTTATTCCTTGTTTTTCCATTTTTCACCTTCTCTTCTATCTTTCCATTATCTATTCTTTATCATTTTCCAGGTGAGCTGTATATAATATAAACCAACTAATATTTTTGTTAGAATTGCCTTTATTATCAGGTGGGCTGTATATCGTACAGACCACCTTATAATTTCATTAGAATTGCCTTTATTTATTTATTTTACTTATTTCTAACCACTTTTTTGTGGACAAGATAACTTGAAAATGGCTCGATCAAATGCCTTGAAATTTGGCACACATATGTATAGGCATATGTACAAAGCACAATAACGTTTTCAACATTGACCTTCACTGATGACGTCATCTAGGCGCCATTTTGTAAATTTTTCGGAAAATCAACTCATGATCATATCTTCATAACCAAAAGTTATTTCTCATTCATATTTATCATGTTTAAGGTCAATATCCGTCCGGTCATTTTCAGGTCAAAAACATAGAATTGCCTTTTTTTTTTCTTCATAATATTCCACATATTTTTACAAACAAATTGATACCATGTTTGTCTCTTTATGACTATTAATAATGGAATGATCAACCGTTTCCGTGCGCGCGAGCTCTTGTAATACAAAGCATATATGGGCAAAAACATGCCTATGCAAAATCAATTGAAGCTCTTTAGGATGCAAGGTGACCCCAATTTTTGTTCATATTTTGATAGAGTATGAATCGGAGATATGATTCCATGTCTCATTTGACTCTTAATTAACTAATGACGTCATCATAATGGCCTCCGAACTCATAATTTCAATTTGCATATTATGACGTCAGCATATTTTTGGAAAATTAATTTTATCTCTATAAAAAATGATTGATTTTCTTTCAAATTTTGATATGTTCTAGCTGAGACAATTCCCTACAAATGCAGATACT